CCGCCCAGCCCGGGAGTCGGCCCGTGGTTTGTTCGCCTCTGTCAGCAGAGAGGCGCGGGTGTGTGCAGACATCAGTGTCCCCAAGAGCTGCACCAGCCACGTTCCCCACCGCGCTGGGGGCTGTACAGCTGAGGATCGAGGAATTTTCCGAGATCTCCCAGGATCCAAGAAAGGAACGGGAACTGTCAGACTGCCAGCTCATACCCAGCAGGGATCCTGCTGCCGCTCTGGCCACAGCCAGGGTTTAGCAATCGTTGCAGCATACAGGGTTTCACCCACTGCTATGGGTAGTGTGGGAGCAGATGAAGGGAATGAGAAGTCAAAAAACATCAGCAGTGGTCTTCTGGCCAGGTCTCACCAGTCAAGGATTAGGTTTAAAATATGTCCTTAAAGTCAACAATTTTTCTAAATTTTTAGGTTTTGAGTTAGCTTTTTATTTAACCTGCTTTCGATTAAAAATATATATAATTAGTTAATTACCCAGAGTACACATTATGAATACTTCTGTCAAAACGATCCACTGAAGAGGGTTACAGCTGTACCCCTCTGCCATCGTGGGACTGTTTGCAATACATCCCTGGGACCCGCAGTAGGGTCTTGTGAGCATCTGATAACTGGACTCCTACAACCAGCCCAGCTAAGCGAAGGTGTTATTTAATGTGCTTACATCACACGTTGGTTAAAAAGACAAGGCAGAACCAGCAAGACCTGTACTGCTCCTGCCAGGCTGTGGCAAGAGGATCAAATGTAACAGGTGTGACTCACTGGTCTGTAAAAACAAAACCTTGTCAGCTGCTTCTGAGAGGTGTTTTTAAGTGCTTCTCACAGAAGTTGCTAACTTTTTAAATCTGATGGAAGAGGGGAAAAAAAAGCTATTTCACGATTTGTCAACAGGAAAATTAACACTTAGATGGTATGTGAGAACTAAAATTAGCAAAGTAGGTACAGAATTCATATCACAAAAAATGTATCCACGCTGCCGGGAAACAGCTGTGAGGGGACGAGGGTTGCGTGAACAGGTTCTGCATTGGGCTTTGTATTTGTCTTCGGTCCTTTCATCTCCCAGACTTCTTGCATAACTTCGGAAAAGTCAATTTCATCTGCAAAGTGGAAGTAGGATTTCCTTTGTTTTCTTGTCTAGGGAAAGTAGATTTCCAGCATGGATCGCCTCCAGCTATACATTAAGCAAAAAAAGCACTTCTGACTCCTAGTGGCTGTGCAAAGCACAGTCAGCTACTGTTGGCAGAACGAAATGCCAGCATTAAGTTGTGAAGCTAGATCCAAATCACGCACTTTGGTACTAAAAATCAGATGCTAGAGCACGTAACTAGAGACAGCTGCCTGGTATGGAACTCAAAGTCATGCACAGACACTGCCTACAGATGAGGGTAACAGTTTAGTGTTGGCCACAGTGCAGTCCGACAACGACAGGAGGCTGAACACATTGAGACTTCAACCCCAGAATACCTGTCGCTGATCAACTACAGCAACTTCCAGGAGTACTGCATGAATACAAGCACACAGTCATAAACTCTGTGAACTTATTTGACAGAATTAAGAGTGGAAAAAAAGCACAGATTTACATTTTTATGACAAAGATCAATTCATACACTTCAAACACATGAGAAAAGTCTACAAAGAGGGGAGACATTTCATACTTGCAGGCTATGCTGATATTCTCCGTTTCACAGCTGTGTTTCTCAAGAACGTATAAGTGGAATGTATGCCACAGGAAAAACCCGCCACCATCTCTTACCAACCTGCTTCCACCATCAAACAGTACCACAGCAGCTACGTAGTGGACAACTCGTAGATCTGCTAAAAGCTAAGGTGCTATGAATTACGTGTGCACATTCCCACAAATGCACATTCTAACTGAGGTCCGGGGGCACAGAATATAGGTGAAGAAATGTTTTCTCTGCTTATCCAGCCTTTAATAAAGCGTGGGTCTGCCTGTGAGCCGGATCCAGCCACAGGCTGCATGAGCGGCCTGTTCCTTAGGGGACACCGGCAGCTCCAGTGGCCCATGCTCCCCAAAAGGCCTCTCAACTACTGTGTCGTGATGGCAAAAGGCAGGACTCGGCACATCTACTGTGATACACCCGTACAAGCAGCTGGGGAAGCAGCTGCGGAGGAGAGAGCTGTCCCAAAACAAGGATCCAGTCTATACGACTGACTAGGCTGGATCACCTTGGGATCAGTGAGGCAAGAATCCAATCAGGAAGGGCAAATAAGGCATTTGCGTAAAGACGTGTTAGTCTCAGAGTGAATACGACTTGAGTTTATAAATGCAAAGTTAAGAGGCAGAAAAACCCCCAAGCATTTACACATCATCTTTCCACCAAGATGATGTTTCAGGTCAGGTCCTCAGAAGGTGACGATGGAAACCCTCATGTCCACAAACACCCCACGCTCTGTGAGCTGCAGGCAAATCGAGGCTGAGCGTGGGAGAGTGCAATTCCATCAAAACCAAATCACTCAAGCAAACCCGGCGTTGATCTGCCACTTACAATCATTAAAGTTTGGATTACATTAATCCCTTGTGGAATTTACTTTCTAATACAAAGCACATTGATCTGTATGCATATTATCCAAAGAGATGACCTGATCTTAGGTCCCTGTGAGTGTTCTGAAGAGTCCGAATAAAACTTCTCTGAGTCCCCGGTGCAAGGCATCTAGAGCCATCAGTCTGCAATACATGTAACCACAAAGAGAATCGCACCATCAGGGACCTGGCGTGCTCCTCGGTGCTGTTCATTCTTTCGGATTCTACTTACCATCAGAGCGGGTTTTCCACAATTTAACTGAGTTTGTTTCAGAACTTAAAAGACAGACATTAGCTCTTGGTATGTTCTGTGGTGACCATCTCTGGTTAAACTCAGCCGTTTGCTATTTAAAGAGTCTGGAGCAAGTAATCATGTTATTCCAGAGTTCCGTTGCTCAATGTTTCACTTCTCTCCAGAGACAGCCTCTGGAGATCCTTCCTAATATCAGGACGATCTTCTAGCTCTTCATATAACGATCGAACAATGTCCAGTTTCCTGTAGTCCACCTCTTTGACCAGACTGCGAACAACCTGGAGACATCTCTCTTTCAGGGTGAACACTGAGGTTGAAAACAAACACACACACAGAGCGCCTCGTCACAACGACTCTCCCGATCTGCTGCCTCCAAGACAGACAGCACTTCTCTAAGCATGCAAATACAGAACAGAACAAGCAGCAGTGTGATTCCCAGCACACTAGGCTACCAGAAAGGAAAAGAACTTGTTCCCTGAGGCACCCGACAATACCCATCAGAGACTCTCTACCCCAGAGATCTGTCAGTAGCTCTGTGCAACACAGTACAGCCCTATCTAGAAACCCTCACAAGCTCTTCCTATTTTTGAGGCAGATTTCATTCTCTGAGTACTTAATTTCTGACTGGATCCTTACACTGAGCTCTAAAGACATCAAGTACAGAATCTACCCGCCTCCATGGTGCATGCAGCCCCATCCTGTTTACCTGGCAGCGTGATGTCTGCTGTACTCACGTTGGGAGCCGCTACAAACAGCTCCTGACGGTTGACGAGGAGTCCATCGTTCGTCCACGCATCCCGGAACAGCCACAGGTGACCTGGGAGAGAATGAGGTGGAAACTCAGTATTTACCACACTTTTTAACAAGTACCCATCACGAACTGATAAGGTGATGCCACTGGGGGATGTCACAGAATCCCAGAATGCTGGGGTTGGAAGGGGGCTCCCCGGTTCGAGAAGGATAGGGAATTGCCGGAGAGGGGACAGCGAAGGGCTACGAAGGTGACTGGGAGACGAGAATATATTGTAGAGGCATAGAATGGTTTGGGTTGGAAGGGACCTTAAAGATCGTCTAGTTCCAGCCCCCCTGCCACAGCTGGCATGTCTTCCCCTCACAGAATCCCAGAATGCTGGGGTTGGAAGGGACGTCTAGAGACCATCCAGTTCAACCCCCTGCCAGAGCAGGGTCACCCAGGGCAGCGCCACAGGAACACGTCCAGGTGGGATTGAAAGTCTCCACAGCAGGAGACTCCACACCCTCTGTGGGCAGCCTGGGCCAGGGCTCCGGCACCCGCACCATAAAAGAGGGTTCTCCTCATGTTCTAACTTAAACCCATTATTTCTTGTTCTATTGCTGGGCACCACTGAAAAGAGATTGTCTCCTTCCTCTTGACACCCACCCCTCAGAT